GGACGGTCATAGTAGACGCTCCACCAACCAATAAAATGACTATCGAATCAACAATAGGGCAGATTTAGGTCAAGAGTCGGCTCATAGTAGCAATAAGAACCGGGTTTGAAGTCTTTTGAGGTTATATCCCTACCCTATGTTAGAGGATACTATAAGTAAGTACTCGCCTGCACCAATCGCCACAAGAATGTGTCTGTACTCTGCTGAATACCCAGGTATGAAATCATAAGTTCTGTCCAATTCACCGTAGAATGTGTAAGGGTAGAGGTTGAAGCTTTCAGGGCTGAGTAATATCTGCCTTTGATTTTCAGGTTTCACGATGCGGGTTTCAGCTATGGTCAAGTTCGTCATTACTTATGTCGTCAAGACACTATAGTATAAAATGATTGAATAATGTAGATCAATATCTCGACGAGATAAAACGAAGTTACACAAATATTATATAAGATTGGTATCCTTACATACGTTAAGGCATTATCCGTGATATAGCATGTTACTATAGTCCCATGCAAAGCTTCTAACAATGACACAACCCAGGGTATATATACATATCCAAAAGATTAAGTGAAGTATACAGTAACTAAATTACTTTTTATAGTCTTATCATAAGAATATACAAGGTTATGTAAACCCAGCGGAGCTTATCAGTATTTCTATAAGACTAGTTATATGAAGTTTTAAGGTGAGAAGATTGTCGAAACTGTTACGCGACCACTATAGATTTCTTTGAACGCTAGAGAAACAGATCTCGGGACCTGCAAACACTAACTTCAGATTGTATTGTCATTTTCGACAAAAGTCTTGCCTTCGTCATTCTCCACTTTACGGAAGGCAAAAGATACATATCTTGGAGATGCATGGTCACTGCGGTCAATAACGCTGATATAAAGACATATTCAATCGCAATCTTGCTATGGTATTCAACTGAAAACGATAGTCCATATTCTGCCTACAATACATATCCTAAGGAGCTCCCGTATTCCAACAGAGCAGTGGCTTAAACAACCTCGCGGGTCTGTACTTGCCCCTGGTGCTCGTCCTCCTTTGCACCTCCAAAGTGGATCTGCTTCTCGACTGCAGCGACGGTCTTCTCCTTGAGACTCTCGTCCTCGAATACTGTGACGATGGGTTAGCTTTTGCGGGACTTGATACCAGGTATTTGGGGAGAAACGTACTGAAAGCAAGTTCTTCGAGGGTGCGTCCGCTGGTCTCGGGGTAGAGGAGGTAGACGATGCAGAATTCGAAGAAGATCCATCCACAGTAGATTGCCAGGTAGCGCCACTTGATGGCATTGAGGGCAATCGAGTTGACGTTGGTGGAGAAGAATCCTCCGAGCTTGCCGAAGATTTGCTGGACACCGATACCGCGGCTTCGCATCGCGTAGGGCCAAAGTTCGACGAGGTAGGCTGGGCAATTGTTAGTTGCGTTCGTTGAGATGTATCGTTTGAGACTTACTGTACGTGAGAGCGTTGTTTCCGATGTTGTAACATGGCTGGAACGAGAAGTAGAAGAACAGGGCAGCAATACCAGCAGCGTTGTTCTTGGTGCCCTCGGGGGTGGCCTGGATTCTCTCGAGAGAGACAGTGATACCAATGAAAGCGCACAGCATCAGGAGAGCGGAAAGCATGAACATGTGACGACGCTTGAAGCGGGGGACGATAAAAGCGATGGCCGTGGCGGTCATCAGACCCCAGCAGGCGTAGGCGAGGTTGATGCGGGTTTTGACTGATCGTTCGGTGTATCCCATCATCCCAAAGAGCACACCAGAGTAGTAGCTTAGAAGTGTGTTTCCGGAAAGCTGAGTGAAGAGACCGATGAAGACTGTGACCAGGAGACGACGGCGCATACCAGCGGTGCGCAAGAGATCCAACCAAGACTGCTTGGCAGCATCCATCTCGGCCTTGATGGTCTCTCGGATCTGGACAATTTCGGCCTGGACGAGCTGGGAGTTAACGTCGCCCTCGGCGTGGTACTTGATGAGAACCGCTGCGGCTTCTTCGTTTCGGTCCTTGGAGACGAGGAAACGGGGAGACTCGGGGAGGAGGCTAGGTGACTATTAGTACCAGTATCGAAATCCCACCAAGTGGAGCGACCTACAAAACAGTGCCGACCTGGAGCAGAGAGGGAATAATCTGCAACAGAGAAGGGAGTCGCCAAGACCAGTTGCTCTTGGTATCAGTAGTGCCGATGGCGATGGCTGAGGCCAGAATCTGACCGATGAAGTAGGAAGCGTTGAATAGCGAGGTCAGAACAGCTCGCTCCTTGGGGTATCCGAGCTCTCCGATGAGGGCAGAGCCAGAGATGATACAGAAGAGGATACCGGCTCCGAGAATCATGCGAGCAACGATGTACATGCCAACTATGGAATTTGGTCAGTTACTTGACTGGTGCAATATCAAATATCATAGAATTTCTTACCGTGCTGAGCAAAACCCTGGAGAATGGCACCAAAGATCATGATACCAGAGCCGAGCATGATGGACCATCGTCGACCGAATCGCTGAGCAAACCAGGGCGCAAAGGGGACCGCAAAGATAGAACCAAGCTGGTAAGAGGAGTTGACAAAGCCAAGCAGACCAGGTTCAATAGCCCAATCACCATCCGCATTCGTTCGACCGTTACCCAAGTCTAAATGGTTTTTGTCAGTTTTCAAAGTTTCCAGTTTTGTCGCAGGGGAAAGAATTGGCGGCATTTCGTACAGTGGTGGAAGTATGGAGAGAACTGCAGGGTGTTGATGAGCTGGGAGTCGAAACCCGAGGTCATCTCGACGCCCATACAGCAGAAGAACAGCCAGACGTACATAAGCCGCAGATTCGGCTTTTTGTACCATGGCGTCTTGTCCTCGGCGACGAGGCGAGTGACGATGGGGTCGGCGGCGCTGCCAATGTTGACCATCTTGGCGAGTTGTCGACTTTTGTCGTCAACTTGTTCTTCTTTGGCTGGACTCTTTGCTTTCGAGCTGGTTTATGCAGGAGGGGCGGGAAGCGGGTTGGTTTGGCTGGGGTCCGTTCCACCGGGAGTGCTGAGGAACCAACAACTTGAACGTTTTCTGGGGATGTTGTCGATCATATTATACTCGAACCGTTCCCCAGGATTTCTCCTCCTCCTCCCCCGCGTTGCGTTTAGATAGGCATGATAGTCGTTATGCAACTACAACTGCAACTGCAACCTAGCGGTAGGGATATCCGAAATCTCCGCACAACAGGCTGAAGGGGTTGTCTGGGGAAGGAGAAGAAACGTGGAGTCTCCGCGCAAAAAGCAGGCTAGACAGGCTCTATGTTGCATCGCGATGTGGCATTCCAGTCAGCGGCCGACACACCACAACTGGCCATTCGCTCGCGTCAACCATCAGATGGGCAATGGCCGGCCCAACCCTGGTCACCGTCTCCAACAACACCCCAGAACGGACTCTCTAGCCGAGACGAGAAGAGAGAGACTAGAGAGAAGAAGTGAAACTCCCAGTTCCCCATTTCTTGCGGCTAAACGGACCGGCTGATTCTGTTGTCCAAGCCCACGGCAGCCAACTTGATTGGCCCGAGCTTATGCTTAAAGCGCTGATCATCCCGTGTTAGTCTGTAGTCCGTATAGTCCTTGGGGGGGAAACCAGAAATATGCCAGATCCAAAACTAACACACGCATGACTCTGCCGAAATTGCGGGGTTGGGTACCATTTTGGCGACGCGGAGTTGCTTCCATTTCCCGTGCTTACTCTGCGTCTCTGCAGTTGCTGCATCGATAAGTTTTCCCATCAATTCTGTGCTTTGCCTTTGATGACCAGGGACTATCGTGGAGAGACTAGGATGGCAGGTTGACACTCGACCTTTTTCCCCCTGCTCTTCTCTTTTCAAACTAGTGGCCTAACCTTATTATAGCTATTGCTTGCTATGGCTTTACGGATACGGATATAGGTTTTGGAAATAGGTACTGTACGGTAGAATAACCGGTCGATGATGTAGTCAGCCACCTACGGATAGATCAGCCCATGTGTACCAGTGTTTCATGCGAAGCTGTGCTGACGACTGACGTTGACCCCAAAAACGCTTACAACATGGCTCAATGGAAGAATTAAAGATGCAAACCCAGAATCTTTCTCGAAGCCAAGACTTACATAAGGCGTAGACAAAAGAACATTAATATTAAGCTCATCTTTCACGTTTTGGAGAAAGGGTCACATCCAACCCATCCCATCTGTTCCCCCCTGTCTTCAGCTCGTCAACCGTTCACCTGGGACCCTGGGTAGGTGCTGTACATAACTACGTACCAGATGGGATGAGCCGGGACTTCAGGCTAAACAGCCCGCAAGCCGGCTGGCTCCCAGCGGTGGATAAGTATTTAATACCTTGGCACTCGCCAGAAGCCAAAGGGACCTTTTTACTGGGAGGGTCGACAGTGAACCCTCCCAGCAGTCCAAGAAAGAAACGTGGGGGGTGTCTGTCATGTCATCAAACAGGCTTACCCATTTCCGGATGAATCCTTCAGCTCGATTCAGATGCCTGCCTTTCTTTTTCACGATGTTTCTTTCTTTGCCAAAAGTGGCTTTTCTATATCCATTCATAAGAGATGAAGCCCTCATATTCGGACCGATGGGGGCGCATATGATGAAGGATGATGCTGTGTCACCCGGCTCATCGCCACGAGGAAGCGAGACGGATGGCTGACAAAGATTCCCCTTCTTCCGTATGTGATGCATCCTGTAGTATGATAGATACAGCAAAAAGAAAGAAGAGATTCCCGGTTGAAGGTGATATTCATAAAGATATGAAGTTTGGTAAAATACACGGGGACTTTTGGAGATTAGCAGCATGCAGTCATAAACAAACCCGTCGGATCATGATAAGATCTGCAGTTACATGGAAACTTAGCTGTCGGAGCCTTGTAGGGTGTGATACAGTAAGACGACGTTTGATCAACCTTAGAAATCACCCGCGTGAGCGAGACCTGTTCTTTCACTTCCCACCATAGTATATATTGATCAATTTCAAAATCCGCGCTTATCACCAGGGCGTGTGGTCTAGGGGTATGATGTTCGCTTCGCATAATTGTTCCGAATTTCGGGCTCGTGCAATTGCGAAAGGTCGAGGGTTCAATTCCCTCCTCGTCCAGCTTTTTGCCATTCAACTGTGTTGGTTGACCTCCTTCTTTTGGCTTATTGAAGTGATTCGAAGTAAGTGTTTTCACCAGGCACGGGATGGTGTGGGGTGTAAGAAACGAGATATGTTGGTTAGCAACCTTCTTTTCGCTTCCAATAAGACTTCCTAGACTTGTGGGACTCAATTACTTAGTTTTAGATATATAGAAGATTCTCTTTACTATGGCATCTATATTCTAGCGCAAAGCCCATCACTAGGCGTAAAGGTTGCTGTTAACGTCAAGAACAAGTCAAAGCCCATCGAGTGTATTCTTATACTGACTTCCACAGAATCGCCCTGGGAACTTTAAACATCCAACCACAATACAACTGCATCGATTTCTATTTTGATTTCATCTTACTAGGAAAGACCTGTATGAAAAGGGTTTGCAAAGACTACCTACATGTATTTCAATACTAGCTCTTATATCCAGTTCTGAGGTTGATTAATATCATGAAGGGGAGGACTACGTTGACCAGATCACAGCGTGCACTCGAACAAAAATAAAAATGTCTCTTAGGATGCGGAAAAGGCTGGTTTCTTTAGATATCTAGGCCTACACACTAGACTTTTTCGAACAGGAGTATTTATTAGACGTTGTCACACGGTTATCGTGATAGGTCTATCTCAGTGATTTTCTCTGTTTGGCTAATGAGCTGTGTATACCAACTTCATTACTCATTCGCTCATTCTGTACTGATTATTCTATACTTATACAGGGTCAGAGAATCGCATAGCCCGGTTGTGGAATTTCACTTCCAGCAACCTTATTCGTCTCTGCAACAAAGTAGAGCAGATTCCAGCCATGCAGCGCAGCCTCTGCCACACTCCCGGGTTCATTCTTCTCGCGCCAGTCATCCCAGAATTCCAGTCTTACGTGTCCTGGGCATATTCTCCTTTGTGCTGGAAATATCACACCTCGTCTCTTCGGTCTCCTATCTCAAAGTCGAGACGCTTTGCATCTTTGGGGTAGTATTCTCTCCTTCCACTTTTTACCGTGCTTCTCAAAAAGGACCCTTTCGCCAGGTATCAACATCATGTGTGTGCAGCTCCGTCTCTCGATCTCCTTGTTCGTAAGGTATCTGAGCTTTTTCCACTCCTTTTATATAGTCAATGGCCTTTTTTTCACTGATATGTTCAGTTTTGTCCTCGTCCGTGTTCATGTCCAGCTTTGAAACCACAACGAATCGTTCCAACTTTGATACCTTCATCGCCGCCAACTCCGGGAGGATCCACTTCTTTATGCCCACAGAGATGAGGTAAATTCTTTTCAGTGTCTTGGAATGGCGGCCGATAAAATCGATAAGACAACTAGTTTTTTGACAATCCGCACGCAGATCGAGGTCCACAAGGTGCAGTTCAGTTAGTTTGGGCATAGTAGGAGTCAGGCTCAAAAGCTCTGGAACTTCGGAGTCTGGTATAGCCATATCATCCAAATCATCGCGATCCTCCGGCATGTAGGCCTCATGGGATAACTTGAAGCTGGTCAGCTTGCGGGCGTTGCTGAGACAAGTCAAAAGCCCCTCAAGATCAGCACGAACGCATCTTGGACCACCTATGCAGAGGTCTAAGTTACGAATGATTGAGAATGCCATGGCATCGTATCTGCTGATATAAGTAAGTGCAGTGGAATCCAAGATGTCTTCGTCCGTATAGATAACCGTGGTGATTGTAGGTGGCTTGTTTATCGGCATGGATAAGGACGATGGGTTTGCGAGAGATTTCAAGGTTGGGATAATAAAATCAAGGAATCCGTTGCTGTACATATAGCCTTGTTCCTTTTTTGTAAAAATCATGTTCGTAATCGTGTGGATGGTCAGCGTGGAGCCCAAGGAAGATAATGTTACCTCGCGTCGAGGGTCCATAGGCTTGTAGACTAAGGTGTGCAGACCCGGCATTTTGTAAATGGCAGCTTGAAACTCGTTCAAAAAATCCGAATGAAGTGACAATGGCTCGGGCCAAAAGAGAGCTCGAACTTCAGAGATAAAGCGACTGAAAGAAGGCACTGTACGTGCTCCAGAGACAAGGTATGTGAAATAGGACAGTGCACGAGTGTCATCAAACTCAAGGGGACTGAACCGGTTAAACGAATTGAGGTCTCCGTTGAATTCTTCCCAAATGACAACTCGAATGATATCAGGGAAGTTTTTTGCAATATTGAAGAATCTCGATCGATCCTGTCGGAAAGATGAGATGCTAACATGTTGAAAAAGAATAGTTGTGGCTGCGGTGCCCAGCTTGCGGCAAGTAAGCCTGATTGACTTGAGACTCGATTGACCTTGCTTGCATGTTGAGGAGAATCTCTTGGGGGAAATCAAGAAGATTCATGGTGTATCCTTGGGGATGATACGAGTAGAAAGTTAAGGCTCGGGGGTACAGAGAAATGTTGCCATGAAGTGTTTATTTCAAGATATCGTTGGATAAGAGAAGAGCAGATGTGGGAGGTTATCGTAACCTCACGAAGCACGAAAGTACTAGATCGGAAAGACATCCTGAGACGGGATGGTCGAGAGTACCTGCCTTTCATTTCAATGAATGGTTAGGCAGATTTACGTCACATATTCTCAAAAGTGAAGGAAGCTCTCATCGCAACATGTGTCTGAAGCACTGGTGTAGGGTGGGTAAATGAAATCATTCACCACCAAGCTGTAGACCCTACTCTGATATCTTGGTTCAGTTGTTTTATTATTTAGGTTATATGTAGATAGAAAAAACGAAAATAACACGAAGTATCAGACACATGTGTGTAGTGCATGGCTCTAGGCTGTCATGGTGTGGGCATGAACTTGACTTGTGTAAGACGTGTTTGTGTGTGTAGTACGTAGTGGGGCGACGTCATCAGCTGTGTCTGTAACACGACGACAAACGGTGACCAGATATTGTACTGTGGGCATAGGCAGCTATTAACTCAGTGAACAGGCTGACAGGGAGAAATATGAGTAAATGGATAATTCTTCGCAAGATAGATAGATCTTCACATGCTCAGTCTCTTGTGAGGCTGTTGCTGTGGCGTTGACAAGCAAAGAGGCACAGCCACATACATACTCACCCTAGTCGCCACAATTACCTGCATACCTTTATCCAATTTCTTTCTTTCTTTCCCCATGGTTCTCTGGGTGTGGCGCAGTAGATAAGATATGACGCTAATTCAGGCTGGGCATCACTAGTTCGCCTCCAAACCCAAGAGACGCTTGGCAGCCGCGCAAACCGTGACAGAGGCAGCCAAGAAAGAACGAATCAAAGCCCGAGCGTCATCATGTATAAAAGACACATGACGAATGCCTTGGCTGAAACCATTCCCTTTTTCTCCCCAGTCTTGATTTAATTCTTCTATAAATCACATACAAATACCACACTACAGCACACACTCTCAGCTACCACTGCTACTGCTGTTATCACTACTTTGTCTCGTTGCGAGAGAATGGGCTCTCTGTTCGTCATACCTCCAGACCAAGACGCCCAGCAAGCCGCTGACTCTCATTCTTCTGCTAGGCAAAACATGCGCCCTTCTATCGAATCTTCCCTGGGCGACCAGGGCCTTGCTACCGAGCAACGCGGCCTGCTCGACCTCATTGACAAGCTTCAATTCGCACAGCTCGACGATGTCAAACTACCCCAAATCGTCGTCGTTGGCGACCAGTCTGCCGGAAAGAGTTCAGTTCTTGAGGCTCTGACAGGTACACCATTTCCCCGCGAGGCCGGCGCCTGCACTCGATTTGCGACAGAAATTCGTATGCGACGAGCGAAGGAAACAAAACTAAAGGTTTCCATCATTCCCGACAAAACGCGACCTTATAACGAACAAGCTCGTCTGCTTCAATATGGAGGTGACGTCGATGGCGACACGCCTTTTGATGCTATGATGCGAGATGCTACAGAGCTCATCGCTCCACGAAGTGTTCCCGGTCGCTTCGCTGCTCGCGACATCCTAGTTGTCGAGAAGAGCGGCCCTGACATGCCACTCTTGACTCTTGTCGATCTCCCAGGTCTTGTGCGAGTCGCCAACCGCGACCAATCTGAGTCTGATATCCAGACCATTGAGGTCCTTTCCGAGCGATACATGAAGAGTCCTCGAACCATAATTCTCGCTGTCATTGGCGGTAACAATGACTACGTCCAAGCCCCCATCCTCAAGAAGGCCCGCCACTTTGATCCGAAGGGATCACGCACCATCGGTGTCCTCACAAAGCCCGACATGACTGAGCGCATCGGTCTTGAAGAAAAGTTCATTGAGCTTGTTACAAACAAGGACAAAGAGAACAACTTCAAGCTTGGCTGGTATGTCTTGCTTAACCCTGGCCCGGGCGAGGAATGGCAAACCCCAGAGGATCGTGCCCGGAAAGAAGCCGAGTTCTTCTCCCGTGGAAAATGGGCAACTCTCCCTCCTGAGATGTGGGGTGTTGGCGCTCTTCGTGCCAAGCTCAGCACCCAGCTCCAGCGTCATATTGGCAAGCATGTCAAGACTCTACGTCGCCAGATTCAGCAAGCTCTGGAGGGATGTGAAGGTCAACTCAAAGCCATGGGCGTTGGCAAAGACACCCCAGAGGAGATGCGTTTCCAGATGGGTGAACTCTTTACAGCATCTAACAACCTTGTCACTCCTGCGGTAAACGGTAACTACAAGAACCCGTTCGGTGAGCGATTCTTTGCTAGACAATCTAGCCCCAAGGGTACGCCATCGCAAAAGCTTCGTGCCCGAATCCGTGATGAGAGTGAGCGTTTTGCTCGAAGGTTCCGGCAGCATGGCCGCAAGGTTACTTTCCAGAACGATCAACCGACCGGCGCCAACGGTACCAATGGCGCAACCGAAGACAACGGTCTTCCCGCAGCCGGCACGGTCGGAGATCGCAGCAAGAAGGACTTTGCCGAGTTCGAAGTTGAGCCTCTCCTCCGACAGATCAGGGGTAACGAACTTCCCCTTGACTCCAACCCTCGAGCACCGTACATCCTGTTCCAGGATTACTCTAGGAACT